CACACTACCGACTTAATTTACTTTATTATTTGATAATTAAATTAAAGAATTTAATTAGTCAAATAAATTTAGTTATTAATCCGGATGAAATATTATTATATTTTTTTTAGCACAGAAAATTTAATTAATATTATAAGCAAATTGGATTTTACTATTTAGAATAATATATTGAATTATATGATTATATCTCTTGGTGAATTATTATCTAAGATAAGTATATATGTTGGACGTGGCTTTCATCTAATTCCCATTAGGAATGGGGTTTGCATTTTTATAAGAAAATTGTACAAGTCCAATTTTAAGAACTTTGGGCTCAACTCACCGTCATTGGCCTTTTCCTTAACCGAAAAGTAACGGCGTACATAAGTCGGGTTGATTCGAATTTTTCAATTATCAAATCAAACCAATTATTTCGGATTTTTAAATCTATAAACCAAACCAAACCAACAAAAATCGAATTTTTTAATCTCGGTTTTTCGGATTTTTTCCGGCAAAATCTTCATAGCATAAAATTTATAATTTATGCTCTAATATTTCTTAGGTCCTAGTAGGATAAAACTATATAAGATGTTACCCAATAAAATAATACAAAATAATGTGAGAAGAGTCATGATTATACTAAAATACCCAACAAATTGCATAAAATAAATATTGCTAATTAATAAGCCATAATAAAAATAAACATATTCTAAAAGTACTAAATCATGTTAAAATAAGTATGACTAATAAGAACTGAGTATTAATTACGTGACTAAATGATATTCAAAGTAAGTAATGCATTTTTCACTACCTAAAGTAATGAAAACTAAGAAAATAAATATCCAATACTATTATCATTCCTAGTGTTGAATTGAATTTTTTTTTTTAGTATTTTTATTGATTTGATTTTGCTTTGGACTTCATTTGAGTCACTAACTTTTATGGGCTATAAAACATATTTGATCATTCAAAAGTTCTAAGTCCAAACTTGAAATAATACATTAAAAGAGAGTACTATGAAAAAGTTTAAAACTTATTTATAGATTACATTACAATAATTATTTTTATGTATAAAATATTTTTAAAACTTGTATATATGTAATGCCGGATTGGTTTGGTGTCGGTTTGAATTTTTTAGGTAAAACTTAACCAAACCAATTATGGTCGGATTTTTTTTCCTAATACCAAACCAAGTCAAAGCAAACCATAGTCGGATTTTTTTTTCTCGATTTGACTCGAATTATCGATTTGGTGTGATTTGTCGATTTTATTTGTTCAACCCTGCCTAAAAGGAAAGAAGGCTATGGTTAATGATATATATGGATATCATTCAACCAAAAGCAGTAAAGATTGTCTTCAAAAAAAGCCAAAAGCCGAGAAACGGTTTTGAAAAGAAAATAGTTTCTTGTCGATTACTACTACACTGAAGGTTTTTGAGAAAAAATTTTAGCACGGTATTTTATTTAATTTGTTCGTGTGTTTCATTGATCAAAGGGTTGATAGTAAGGATCGGTCTCGGTGTGAATATGCATAGAGTCTTCGCACTATCGAAGAAAATTCTAAAACGTGGCTCTCTTCACCAGGTACGTCTTAGATCCGATCTTTGACATGTAAATAAATTTTAAACACGAAAAGATCTGCCTAGGATTGTTATTGTCTTCCGCTGCGTGTTATGAACATCTATATGCAATCCTTCAGTTAGATTTTAGGTTCGAGTCACGCTGGAGGAGAAGTGTGAAAACACTATAGATCCTCCAAATAAATCGGCGAGGGAAAACAAAAATGAAACTGGCTAGTAGAGGTATGGTTTAAAATGACATTGACTTGTAGTTGGCGAAAATTAAAAAGATTGAGTTTGAAAACTCAATTTTTACAAACTTGGTATAAATACCAGCTTAAAGAATCAGTCACACAGCTCTTGAAACCTACATAATTGGAGTCATATTCCTTTGTATTTTGGAGCATTACACCAAATATCACTTGTTTTTCACTTTCTAAACAGCTTTTTTAAAGAATCTGCTCCACATAATACGACTTTTCGTATGTAGTGAAGGAGCTTTACACAATAATGCCGCCTACTTCGTGTGGCTTGCAATGAAGTCCAACTACCTTGAGTACAAATAATTGTCACTTGCCATGTAACAATCACAAACTAGATATATAAACGATCATTTGGGAGTGCGCTGTGCTTTGAAAAATAAGCAAAGTGATTAAGCAAGAAATAATTAATACTTCTCTAAATAGTTGGTGAAAATGTTCTCAGTTTGTGGAGATTTGAGAAAGATTCTTTATATTTTTGCATAAGCTCAAAGCATTTAGAACTAGTTAATTTTATTTAGATTCCATTTCAAAAGACAAATTGTTAATAAGAAAAAATGTAGTGTTTATTGTTTGAGGTTAACTCAGAAGTTTACACAAAAATACGTCTACTAATTTACCAAATGGAACAATGAATGAAGTGCTTGGTTAAGAGGAGTGAGGACGGATTAGTGGTAAACACCTCTACCACCGTCTAACTGGTTGATGGTTCAAAGAAAATTATGAGAAAGAAAGTATTGTGAAAATTCTTAGAAGTGCACTTTCTTGCAAATACTATTGAAAAAAAGTATACCTAATTAGGGTACATAAACAATATATTTAGTGTCCACCAACAAGCACTTACCATAGCACGCCAAAATCATGTGGTTGTATCTCTTCTAACCGAAAAACGCACAAGGTCCCCTGATTATTTTTTTAAATGGGTTTTCATTAAGTTTCTAGTACCCGCTTGAGACCCTAATTAATGCGCAGTCGAGTTCAGGGGCGGACCCACGTAGGGACAAGAGGGTTTAAATGAATCCGCTTCGTTAAAAAATAACACTGTATATATAAGTATATTTTATATTTCTAAGAACGTTTTATGTATAAAAATTATTTTGACCCCGCTTAAAACATTGATGACGAATAGCCTGTTGGCAAAGTGGGTTCAAATTTTCCTCAAGGTATTGAGTTCGAAACCAGTCAGAATTATCCCATTCCCAAACTAACAACCCCAATTTCGAAACCCTTCTCTATTTCTCATATTTCATAAAAAATGCTTGTTGTCTCTCTCTCTCTCTCTCTCTCTTGAATCTTTTAGTTCAATTTCAAGGTCATATTGCTTCCTTCCATAACTGTCTCCTGCCATTAGCCTCTCACCATCAGGTTTCTCTCTGATTTCTAATTTTTTTTCTTGTACATATAAATTAGGTCTATCTTTCAATTATCATTAAGTGATTTAGGGATGACTAATTGACTATAACACATTGGATTCAGATTAATTTTATTTTCTAAGTGCATGAGTGTATTATGTATATGTGTTTGGCTAACTGCATTATATAGGTGTTCCTTTCAATTAACTCAATTATTCCATGATATAAATAATCTGCTTTAAAATACTTGCCCATCACTAAAATTTATATTGCTGATTTTTTTATTTGTTCTCTTTGTTGCTTCAAGAAAAATTATGATGAAAACAATAACTCTTGTAAAGACATTTTGAACTTTCAAAGTTGTGGTCCAAAACTATTTAATGATGATTAAAATCTCATCTAACTGTTTTATAATATAATGATATGTAAAATAAAATAAAATTAAATTATTGGTGAAGAATGAATAAATATTAGTTTAAATTTAAGTTTAATTAAATTATTCTTTTAATTCGAATTCTAATTTGGTAATCCAGTTTATGTTACAATGAAGAGATTTTATCCTCCGGTATCTTTCAAGTTGCCACAATCAAGTTCATCCTCTCTAATTGTTACTCCCGTAGAAGAAAATTTGAACCAATTAGTAGAACAACCTTAATCCTCTAAAAAATAAAGACAAAGAATAGATCTTGATTCTTTAAAGACTAATCCAAAGGAGAGATTGCCCATTAGAGACTTTCATCCAAATGAGCATGATGGNCAAATGAGCATGATGAGATTAGAAGAGAATACCTCCGAAGAGGTCCTTGCCAACCCCGATATCATAAGTTTCCTCAAAGAGATTTTTCGGGCTTAAAGCGTCGTTTCAATCCTAAATGGTTTAAAGGATATCATAATTGGTTGGAGTATAGTGTGATTGACGATGCAACTTACTGTTTGTATTGTTACTTATTTCAAGATGAAGGCATTCATCAAGGTGGAGGTGATGTATTTTCAAGTTTAAGATTTAAGAGCTGGCACAAAAAGAACATATTAGATATGCATGGGTCGAGCAGTATTCATAATCAGGCAAAAAGAAAATGTGAAGATCTATTAAAACAAAAACAGTCAATTCAAACTTCATTTGATAGGCAATCCACTCAAACCAAGCTCGAATACAAAATTCGCTTGAAGGCTTCAATTGAGGTGGTGAGACTCCTATTGAATCAAGGATTGGCATTCCGTGGACATCGTGAAGATGAATCATCATTAAACAAGGGTAACTTTCTTGAGATTCTTTCATGGTATGCAAAGAGGTGCGATAAAATTCGTGATCTTGTGTTGAAAAAGGCTCCAAAGAATGATCAGTTGACTTCTCATAAAATTCAGAAAGACATTATCATTGCATGTAAAATTGAAACAGTTAAAGCAATTATGGACGATCTAAATGGATACTTTTTTGCATTGCTAGTTGATGAATCATGTGATGTATCACGCAAAGAGTAATTAGCTATTGTCATGCGATATGTTAATAGATGCGGATCTGTGGTGGAGCATTTTAGTGGGATCGTTCATGTTCGTAATACTACTGCTTTGTGTTTAAAGAAAGCAATTATTGATTACCTTGCTCAACATTCTTTGAGTTTATCTTATGTGCGTGGACAGTGCTATGATGGATCAAGCAACATGCAAGGAGATTTACATGGCCTCAAAACTTTGATTTAACAAGAAAGTAAATCTGCTTATTCCATTCATTGTTTTGTACACCAACTTCAATTGACTCTTGTTGCGGTATTCAAAAAGTGTCTTGAAGTGGGAGAACTTGTATTGTTGGTTTCTAATGTATTGAATATAGTGGGAGGTTCTTTTAAACGTATGGATGATCTTCAAAAATCTCAAGCAGAAAAAGTTCAAGAGGCATTAGACATGGGTGAACTTGAAACTGGTAGGGGTTTGAATCAAGAACTTGGTCTTGCTAGAGCTGCAGATACTCGTTGGGGTTCGCACTACAAATCTTTTAAGAACTTTATTTCTATATTTGGCTCAATTATTGATGTTCTTGATACTATCGTTGTTGATGACCGGACTTTAGAAGAAAGAGCTAAGGCAAAGGGATATCTTAGCACTTGTCAAATATTTGAGGTTGCTTTCATGTTGCACCTAATGAGAGATGTTTTGGGGATCACAAATGAGCTTAATACATCCTTATAAAAAAGGAGCAAGATATTGCAAATGCTATTCTACTTGTTGAAGTGGCAAATAGACGGTTGCAAAAGTTAAGAGAAGAAGAATGGGATTCACTTATTGATAAGGTATCTGCCTTTTGTGTCAAGTATAATATTTTGATACCAAACTTTGATGACTTCTATGTTAACTCTGGAAGATCTCGACGTAAAGTTGCTGATTATACTATTTTACATCACTATCGTGTTGATATATTTTTTAAGATTATTGATTGGCAAGTTCAAGAACTCAATGCTCGTTTTAATGAGGTGACAACGAACTTGCTTGTTGGAGTAGCTTGCTTAAATCCAGTTGACTCATTTTCCAGTTTTGACATAAATAAGATATTGAGGATGGCTGAATTATATCCTGATGATTTTGATGAGAATATAATGGTTACACTCAAGAATCAGCTTGAAACTTATATTGTTGATATTCGTGATGTTGATGAAAGGTTCTCAAATCTACAAGGACTTGCCGATCTTTCTGAAACACAAGTTAAGACAAAGAAGCATTTGAATTATCCATTTGTGTTTCGCCTTGTGAAATTTGCTTTGCTTCTACCGATTGCCACTGCTACCGTTGAAAGAACTTTTTCGGCGATGAAGTTGATCAAGAGTGAATTGCGAAACCGAATGAATGACGAATTCATGAGCGGTTGTTTGGTACCTTATGTAGAAAGAAAAATATTTAACACCATTTCTGATGAGACTATTATGAATACGTTTCAGGAAATGAAAACTCGTAGAGGACAGTTGTAATAATATATTTTATTAATATATTTTTTTGTTGACCTCTTTATATATTTGCTTCTTCGTATTTTGAACCCACTTGATAAAAATCCTGGGTCCGCCACTGGTCGAGTTCCCTATCAGAATGATTTTTATTCTCTTGGCTCGAACTCTAGACTTCTAGTTAAGGGTGGAGTACCATATACATTTTATTACCACCTGTGGTTGTAAGGTCCATTCCCTTAGCATTAAGGTACAACTGCTACGTTAATAACATATTATTTTCCTTATTCAGTTTTCAAAAGAGATTTACATATTGAGTTTTCAGAAAAAGAAAAAGACACTAAAACAAAGGCTTCAATACAACTTGGTATGTTTTGACAAAGCAGAGTACGAAATCAAATGTCTTTCTGTTCTAGCTGGTCTATTGGGACGAAATTTCGGAATTTTACAAGGTATCACACTGTAAGTCTTCTGTAATGGACACAATTTAATTTGCCCCCGAAATATTAGACACTCCACTATTGATCTCTGATTAGGAAGACCAAAAATGCAATTTTTCTCAACATTAAGTATTCCCTTCTTGATCAACTCCCTACATAATGGCCCAACTTTTGTAAAATAGTTATTTGACAAAGTAAAATTTACCAAATTTGTTAGTGAACAGACCACCTCAGGAACTTGTCCATAAAGTAAATTTCCAGCAAAATTCAATTGCTCCACACTTTCCAAACACCCTAAAGAACATGGCAATGGACCAGTTAACATGTTATATCCAACGTCAATCACAGTTGCTTTTTTTAGAAGTCCTAGTTCATAGGGAATACAACCAGTGAGCAAGTTGTTCAAGAACAAAATTTCCAACAAATTTGTAGCCTGTCCAATGCTACGTGGAATTGGACCAATGAATTTGTTGTTGGCTAAGGTTAAATAAAGAGCAGAGGTAGATCCAAGGTTGTCAGGAAGTTTTTGTACGAAGTTATTGTTGTTAAGAAAAAATGCATCAAGATTCTGTGTGAAAATCTGAGGTGGGATTATTCCAGTGAAGAGATTATAACGAATATCTAAGAAAGTTAGAGTCTTGATATTGAGAATTGACAAAGGGAATGTACCGATGAATTTGTTGTTACTAAGATCGAGCTCGTAGAGATATGGAAGTTGAGTAATTTTCGAAGAAATTATGCCCGAGAAATTGTTGCTATTGGCATGGAATATTGCTAAATCAGGGAGTTGATCGATAAATCCATCTAAAGTGGGAGCAGTGAGTTGAAATCCATTGAAATCTATAGAAGCAAGAGAAATTGCTGAGGTATTATAAGGTGGATTATCACAGTAAAATCCTTTGTAGTTGCAGATATCAGGGCCTGTCCAAGATTGAGTGACACCTAAAGGATCAAGAGTGATTGTGCTTTTGAAATTTTGAATTATTGGGAATATTAAAGCAAGTCTTTGGTCTAAGAAGGTTAAATTTGGTGCTGGTAAAGGTGGTAGTAATTGGCTACTGCAATTTCTCAAAATTGAAAAAATTATGAAGAAATAAAGGATCATCATGAAACTGAAAAAATGTTTTTGGTCTAAGAATGTGATGAGAAGAAATTGTTGATGATCATTTTCTTTTATAGCATAAAGATTCATGATATCCTTTTGGTAGGTGAAGTCTTGAAAAGATAGAGGCTCATAATTTCACATTGTAGTGGGAAATTGGAAGCTTTGAATTGAGAGTTCCATTTATTCTTCAATTCTCCGAGACTTAAAATGGTTTTCCTTGAGAGCTTTTGGAATTAATAAAAATAAAAATAAAAATAAAACGAGAATATTCAATTGAGCAGAGATTGGATTGTGTATATTTCATTCGATATATAAAAAAGTAGTTAGAACTTTATTGGAAAATGGAAAGTAAAGAAGAGATTCAGAAAATTATTGTGAATGGTGGCTAAATGGGGTTTAAAAATGTTCAAAGTGGCGCACCTCTCTGGCCATAAACCAAAAGCAATCGTGATTAGGTAGATGAATGTGGATTTCCATTGCAAAAATCAGTGAGAAGTCAAATGCCACGCTTATGTTAGATCTAGTAGCTTTTATCATACACTGCAAAAGTTTGCCAAATTACAATTACCGTAGCTATAATCTAGTACAACTATTGAGTAAACATGAAAAGGAGCAATAGGAAGAAGGATTTATCTCTTATTTGGTTGTTGCAAGCTATGAAAAATAGCTTATTAGCCAATTCATATTTATCAGAAGAGAAAAGAAGCTCGTTCATTATTTAAAGGAGCACAAATTCTTAACTTAAGCATTTCTTTATTTGAACTAAAATTTTCTGATACTTGGGATATTAAATCAACTAAACTTTTTTTATTAAATCCAAGTTGCATGGAATATGCTTCCAGCCAATTTAAGTTTGTTCATCGGTTTAGTTATTTTTATAAATTAATCACTTATGACATAATATCCCATGTACACGCATACAAAAATTAATAAATTTTGTCTCTAGTTACTTTTATCAATAACTGGTACACGTTGGGTATTTTAAAAATTGGCATTTTAAGTTAATAAGCTAGCTTTGAGCAAGCCAGTATATACAATATAATTGAATATTCATTATCATTGCCAAAAACTATACCAGAAAATAGTTTTCATAGCAAATATGGAAAAACTATGAGTTCGATAATTGATATTGTAACCACAAAATGAGAAAAGGGTAAAGAATTTTCAAGTGTTGATAAACTATCACAAAAATTTGTTATATATAAAACGTTGAACGCCATTTTTTACCTTTCAATCAAATATTATTTCTACAATACTTTCGTTCAATGAATCAATTACCAGAACAACCGAAGGAAGAACCATTATAGTGAATCCAAAATCTTTTTTTTTAAGAAGGTAGTGGACCTGAACTCCTAAACATTAGTAACATTTACATATCTGTCACACTCTTTTTTTACCCCCCAAAAGATAAAGGTGTGTTGTGTGGATGCTGGGTTAAAGAGTTTTTCCAATTAAAGTGACAATTTTTGAAATAGGGATTATTTTGTTATTCAGAGTCGCCACTTGAAATTGATTTTTGGTGTTCCAAGCTATATTTTATTTGAATCCCTAGTCAAAGGAAGGTTTGACTTTTTTATTATTGGTCTGCGAAAATAAAGTCCGGATAAGGAATTCTGTTGACCGGGGAGAAGATGTAAGGCATTCCCCGAGTCCCGTGGTTCTACCACGGTCGCTTTATTGACTACATTTGGCTTGAATTAATTTTAGACAAACTGTGTTTTATTGGATTTCCATGTTTCACCTATCCGCTTTTAATTATTAAAGAAAGATTTGAATTATATTAAATTGTCCTAACCGCACCACACAGGCGAATGTGCGACCGAGACGAATTTTATTAATTTTGTCATAACTGTGCTACGCTAGCGAATCCGCAATCATGACAAGGGTTATTAGTACGTTATTACTTTTGGAAAAAATTACTACATTCGAAGAAATTATATTTTTTATTTTTTATTTTTTAAAATTTATTGAAAGTTACTATCACGCTACGCAAGTGAATTCGCGATTATAGGAATTAATAAAATTAAAAATTAACTAAAACTATTGGATATGGGATGAGATTATTGAGTTAATTTAATAAAAATAATATCACGCTATGCAAATGAGTCCGTGAAGTTAAAGCGCGCCTACTAATTGCCTAGCGTTTAAATTAATTATTAAGAAGACTAAGTTGTAAAGTTATTTTAATAAAAGAAAATTCTGTTTTTTATTAAGATTATAAAAATATGAAAAGTTGGGCTAACTTGTTATTTTAAAGAGTGGACAACTATTGATTTAAAAGGGAATGAGCCAACTATTTAAGTATCAAAACTGCTAGCCCTTTTTAAACAAGCTTGGGCATTGGGCCAGCCGTTACTTATTAAAAAAATGGACAGATTTGTTATTAGTGAAAATTGGCCAATAGGTTAGTTTATTTGAACCTTTATTCTTGTTAGCCCAATCTTATTAAATACTAAATTAATACATTCTGCCCACTTTCAAACTCTTCATCAAGTCTTTAACAATTTTTCTTTTTCTACAACATGATCAAGATTCTCATAAAATACTACTTAAAGGTTAACAGAGAAATGCTAAGAGGCAATAAATAAATAAATAAATGAATAAATAAAGCAAAAAAAGTCATGGATTTAACATTATGATCCAAAACTTGATTTCAAGATTGAAACCTCAACATTCATCTATATAGTAAATTTCCTTGCATATGCTTCAAGTAATCTAAACATGCTCAAATCCTCATCGATTTCTATTAACAAATATGCATTACATAGTTTAAAGGTTACCTGGGTCGCAGAAAATAAATATAGCAGTGAAGAATAAGAGCTCAGCAACAGAAAGCAACAGAGAACAACAATAAAATCAACATAAATCCAGCAGCAAATTGTGTTTAAACAACCCGAAAACTTTAGAGAAGAAACCGAGAACTAACTCTAAAGAAGACTTCTACTTTTCTAAAAGTTTGCACTATAAGATTCACTCACAAAGCGTATAAATTTTCAGCTTACTAAAGTATTCAGCTGCTGATTTTTTGTTCAAAGATATGTGTGTTCAAGCAACTCTCAAGATCTTTTTGTTTCTAAGTGATAAAGGGTGTGTCTATTATAGGAGAAGAAACCAGGCATTCATGATTAAAAATCAGTCTTTTTTGACAGATTTTTCCACAAAAGCTGCTCTAAAATTCAAAGGGTAAGACTTTCTTGTTCAATCTTATCCAAAAGAGAGTATTTCTATCAAAATCTGCTCTTCACTATTCAAAGACAGACTTTTGTTCAAAAACTGTCCAAAAGTCCATATTTTCTTACCAAACAAATGACTTTTGAGTTTTATACTCAAAAAATTTCCGAAGCAGTAATAAGCAATCAAGCAAGTACCCTATACTTTCAAGTATTCCTTCACTACCTCACTTTTATCAATATAACACTATTCTACTACTTCAACAAATGCAAAAACAGAAAATTTAGCATTTCAAACTTTAAAAACTAATG